ACGGACTTACTTTGTACTTAGGCTCGGAAGTTAAATCGTTCATTGACAGACTCCATTTTACTAGTTAAATTGGAGTTAGACTTCCCATTTGAACATCATTCACTACGCTGTTACCATGTTGGTTTTCAATGCTTTTGTTGGAAGATACATGTTCCTAAATTCTCTGTTTCAATTTTTGCTGCTATTTAGCATCTTGGGAAGAATTTTCCACCTCTTTTATGGGCTTATTTTGATGTTCATGGAGTTATTTTTCAAGGATCAACACTGTTTAATTAATTAAAGTCAATGTATATTTGATTGATGAACGCGTCTCGGATGGATAATTAATCATTCAACATCGATTTGTTCATTCATATTTGCGTCACAGTGCTTCTTAAAGCTTATAGAGCAAAATGCGAAAATAGCAGTCATAGATACACAAACTATCATTAGAGAAAACTTCGCTCTTCCGTTAAGCCTTGTCAATCCACTGGTTATGGCAGAAAATCTACTCGTCCTTGAACCGCTTCTCGACCTCCTCCATCCTTTGAATCTCCGTGTAATACTTGGAAATACGGTAGATGCACCTGCGCCAACGTTTAAAACCATAGCACGTAAAATTAGTGAAAAAGAACAGCTCAATACTTGCATATGAAGTTAAGGTCGTCAAACGTGCTGGTTACATACCAGTAGAGGAGGCACGCAGCGATACATAGAACAGCATTCCTCTGAGCCTTGTACATCTACACCACACACCCAACAGCAGAGATTGGAAAATGCATATGGGCCGATGGCCTAATGCCACGGCGTAAACAAGAGAAAAGCATAACGTAAAAAACATAATAGAGCAATTCCATTGCTTATGATAATAAATTCTCCCATAAAAAGGCTATAGGTACCTCTGGTGAGACTCAATTGGGTGCCTTCATAACATGAGTTTCATTATTGTATTTAGGTATTATAACATGCTTTGTGACTCTAAATTACAATTATATCTATGCATAATATTTATCTGAAATAATAATCAGTTTGTCGCCAAAAGTACAAATACTTCAGGCACTGAATCAATGTCTTTATCAGAAAGAGTAATATTTTCAATATTGATATCGCCGGTTAGAAAATAACAATAAGATTCAAAAGTTCAAAAACAAATCTTAAATAAGAAATATAACAAAGAAGAGTTGAATTGAAAACAGAAACATGGAAACAAGAATCATTCAGAATAGAAGAACTTATTTATAGATAAGAAGGGAAATATAAAAAACT